AGAGTTGCTGTAGGCCTCTTGGTAGCCTCTCTGACCAGTTTCCTCCTGGCTCTTTTATCAAGTTTGGAGTGACGTCATGATTCAGGGAGGGTCTGTGTTGTCCCAAATACCTTGTTTGCTTCAGTTGCACTACCAAGGACTGAAATGCTCCAGGAAAGCTCTTTTCATGCTGAGCTAATCAGAATTACAGCACAGCTCATTGCAGTTGAAAGTCAAATGGCTTTGTGTGCCATTTGATGATTAACTACACTTGATTGAGTTTACAAGTAATTTTTAGGAGGGTGGTGATCTTTTTTCCAACTCAGTGATTGGTGGTGTTATATCTTTCACTTGTATGTTATAAGTTGCACTGAGTAAATACAGCTGGATAAAACAAAAACTGTGTCTGTTTTCATTTCTGTCTGCAAAGCAACAAAATGTGACTATTTTAAATGGGGTGATTCTATATATATATATATACAGTTTCACTGTAAAGATTGGGAATAATTGTTCTTCTGCTGCTCCTGTAAGTTATGGGGTGCCTCAGGCCTCTATTTTAGGGCTGTTGCTTTTTTCTCTATACATGATTCCACTGGGCTCTATATTTAATAAATTTGGCATTTTGTATCATAGTTATACTGATGACACACAGTTTTACCTGCCTTTTAAAGCAGGAAATAATACAGCTGAAAATTCCTTTTTGAATTGCCTTGAGGAGGTGAAATGTTGGATGAACTCGGATTGTTTAATGTTGAATGATAAAAAGACTGAAATTTTGCTTTTTGGGGAAAAAAGCACATTGTTTACCCCAAAACCGAGTCTGGGGCAGTTTTCATCCTGTGTAAAAAGTCATGGCACTAACTTAGGCATAATTTTTTATTCTGAGCTCAAATTCAATCGTCAAATAAACACAGTAGTAAAAAATAGTTTCTTTCAGTTGAGGAGGATTGCAAAATTGAAGTCAGTTTTATCAAAGAATGATCATGAAAAAGTTACACATGCTTTTATATTTTCACGCTTAGATTATTGTAATGCGATATTTGCAGGGGTTTGTCAGTCGTCCCTGTCGAGGTTACAATTGGTTCAAAATGCTGCAGCCAGACTGCTGACAAATACTAAGAAAAGAGACCATATAACTCTGATTCTGGCCTCTCTACACTGGCTACCAGTTAAACAACGAATTATTTAAAAATTCTGTTATTCATTTTTAAAGCCATCAATGGCTTGGCCCCAGAGTATATCAAGGATCTGTTAGTTATTCAGTCCTCCTCAAGATCGCTAAGATCTAACTCACAGATTATGGTTCAACGTACAAGTCTTAAGTGTAGAGGTGATCGAGCATTTTCAGTTGTGGCCCCTAGACTATGGAATGATCTTCCTTTCTTTGTGCGTTCTTCGACCTCTCTGCAGATGTTCAAATCACGTCTTAAGACCCATTTGTACTCACAGGCGTTTGATGTGTAATTTTACAGGTATTATGTATTTTAATTAATTGCTATTATTGCTTTTGACTTTCTTGTACAGCACTTTGGTATACTTTCATGATTTTTAAGGTGCCCCTTTAACTTCAGTAATTCCCACTCTCTCCTTGCAGGAAAACAGCACTCCAGAGGAACACACTCTCTATGTGTGGGACCACTTCATCTCTAAATCACTTGCGAAAAACATCTTCATCGTGGCACACAGCTATGGCGGCTTATCATTCGTGAATTTGGTAAGTATTTGTTAGAGGTTATTATTATGAAAAGCCCTCCCCCTCAACTCCCTCATCACACACACAGTTGTGTTCACCAGTGGGAAAAGCAGCACCAGAGAGAGCAAAATGATTAAAAATAAATAATGCTTAGTTTTTCTGAGAAAATTCTGCGTTTGTAAACAGTCCAGTTCATCCTTGTCCTAAGGCGCTAAGACTTCCTTGAGAAGGAGGGAGGGATGAAGAAAGAATGAGAAACTGCAATGAGAGCTACAGCTCTGTTAAAGCATGTAGACGAGTATGCATAACATCAGACCCTGAGAGAAAAGAGAGACAAGTCATGATAGAAGGGCAGTCGGCCCCAAAATACATGCTAAAGTTAGAACGACAGAAAATAGACGTTTGATTCTTACATAGTCTCTCATTTGGACCCCCCCCCCCAAAAAAAAAGTTTGATGTGCATGGGGTTAATGCACATTTTCCAATTAACTTTAAATTAGTAAAATTTTGTTTTAATACATAACTAATAATAATAATAAAAAAACATATAATAATTATTTGTAATCTTATAACATTTTGACCATTTAAACAATTTTTTAAAAATTGGGGCCAATATAGACATCCTTATTTTCAGTGCTTTTCATGAACCTCCCATCTGTTGAATCTGTCATTTTCTTGGCCTGTTTAAAGATAGTTATTGTTTTCCCCTCAGGCTAAATCTTATGTTTGAGAAGATCTCTCCGTCAGGTTAGAGCATTGTCCTAAATTGAGATCATTTTTGTCTTGCATTCTCTTAAATTGTTCCAATGTTCAAAGAAAGCGTCCAGAAATTGGTAGTAGTTGGGAGTTGATTTTCAGTCCTTCTGCCACCTGAAAGGGTCCAAATATGTACTTCTGGGCACTCCAGGTACGTTTTTTTTTTGTTGGGGAATTGGTGGCACTGGATGATTAAAGGTTCTTGGTGTCTTCACGCTTCATTCTTTTACAGTAAATTTGCACTTTTTTTCTTCTCAACATTTTTCATCCTGCCGAATATGATAAAATATGCTACATAGTTTTGAAGTTATTTATGGCGAAAGGAATTGGTAGTTGTGTTTCACATTATCAATCTAAAACAGGAAATTTTGAGAACTATGGTGGAGGTGAAGATTTCTCGAGAATAATGTTTTGGTCTGTTTCTCACACAGAGCTATTGTATGATTTACAAGACTTGAAATCTAGTGTATAAGTCTTGTGAGCTACTTTTACGGTGCTATATTGTCCTTGACAGCTAATGTCTCATTATATGGCACCGATTATTAAGATCATTCCCTTTTGTTTTTCACAGACGGAAGTCAGTCTTGCTTGTTTTCGAATGACACAAAAAGAAAATGACCAAATTTTCATTCTTTTGATGAACTAACCCTTTACCTGAACCTTGTGAACTTCGGTTTTCAGCTATGTACCCTGTGTTACATCACCTCTGGGGTCAAGGGTCAGGTAACTTGTCACAATCTCTAGTCTAGGTGTGCGCATTGTTAGGACAACTTCTTCAGGAGCACTCTGGCTAGCCTTTGACCTAACATAAACACACACTTTTTTGCTTTCTTTCGTACACACTCCTACACCTACATGGGAGCTCTTTTCATGAACCCATTCCACTTTTCTTTTAAATTCAGAGAAGGGAGGGTGGAGCGGATGGCCACGACTTAGCATTCCTCTGATAATTCCAGGAATATGTTTTTATCTGAGGCAGGAGTCTCTGTGTTTCGTAATTTGAATATAACTGTTAAATATTTATGTGGCGTTGTGGCCGTGACAGCCCCTTGCTGGTGGAGGCATGGTGGTCTTCTTCCAGAGATCTGTTTAGCCGTCTTTCTCTGATGCATCCCTGTTTTTTTCCCCCTTTTTTGTTTCCAAACACACACACACACACACAAAGGCGAAATGCTCACTTAGACACACTATTTCATATATAAACCATGCTTATGCTTTCCATTGGTTCTGTTGTCTGTGGTATGGAGTGGCAGGTATATTCTGACGAACTGGATGAGAAGAACTTAGTCGTCCAACACAGATTATCTGTATAGATCTTATAAATGATCTTGTATAACATCTCCATTCAAAGTTTAATCATTTTAGATGTTTGACATACTATTTTTTATAGTTTGGTAAATGCACCAGTAACTCAAGTGAAACTTGAATAAAATGTGTATTATTTCAGTTGTTATTTATTCATTCATTTATTTAACATTTTATACTAACAAGAACTCAAATCATCTGTACATTTCATTGACAGTAACCCAATATAATGAGAGGGCTGGTCATGTGACTTGGTGTGAATAAGCCTTTAAAAATGGTTCAAGGTGAAAGGAGTTAGAGGCCAAGATGGAAAAGGTGGACACAAAGAGTTGAGTTGAGGAGAAAAATCTTTAGCTCGTCATAATAGATTGCCTGAAAACAGGCCGTCTGTGGCTTAATTACTGCTCCCTTTAACTCCTAACAAACACATTTCTTATCAGGCACATCAAACACAGGCCGATTAATGTCTTCAGCATGCTGCCTCTCTCTCCTTCTCTTTCTTTTCATTGAAATTCAATTTCTTTTCGAAGGCAGTATGTAGTAATTATAGATACATCAAAGTGTGCCTTTAAGTAAGAGTGGTGCATCAGGGTTGGATAGCTTTATGTCAGGGCTCACTCTTCCATCTCTGTGTTCCTGTTTCAACAGTCTCTGTTTCTTGTCATATATGTGGCATGAATTCTGAGTTTGAGGAGACTGTAGACAAACTGTTCTCTCTTCACTGTCTGCCACTCTGTTCTTCTTCTAGCTCTATGGCTGCATTTGAATTCCTGTTGGTTCATAGTATGTACTGAATTTGAACTTGTCAACCGTTAATGTGTATTATGAATATATTACCAGATATACAACATCCACCATTGTCCTGTGGCTCATGTACATTGATCTATAATTAGTCAGGAGAACTGCAAAGAATTGAATTATTCTGTTCTTATTCCTCTTAAAGTGCCCCTATTATGCCATTTATTGCCTTTCATGCAGCGTGTAATGAATATAAACAATCTGCAAAGTTGCAAAGCCGAAAGTGCACGATAAATAAAATTATTGTCTCTCAAAAGAAAGAATCGACTCTGAACAGCCTAAACGATTCGTTAGTAATTCTACACATCACGGGGTCACACATTTGCATAATACCCACCTATGTTTTACGTTGGCCAGCCGCGAACAACTTGACCCCGCCCTCAAACACTGTAGCTTGTTCGTGTGGTTAACATCATGTCGAGAAGATGCTGTGTCCTGCGCTGTGAAAGTACATTTGTTTTATTTTCACTTCTGAAAGATGAGGCTGCAAAGAATCAGTGATTAAAATTCATCTTTTCCACTGTACCACAGCAGTACAACCCCAATCTTATTAATTTTATTGACGACTGCTTCTCTAATCTCGGGGAGTTTAATGCGGGATTCACAAAACGCTTGCTCCTGAAAGATGGCTCAGTACCCAGTTTATTTGGACCAGCTGGCTCCACTGAATCACAACCTGTAAGTATGATAAATAATAGATTTGTATATTTTCTTTTGAGCGTTCAAAATGCGTAACTATGGCAATGAGCGTAATGTGTCAGACACACGCTGTACACGGTAGACCAATAACAAAGCAGAGTAGGCTCAAGGAAAGGAGGGGTTTAGAGAGACTGAATCTTAGAACTGCTTCGGACAAATCGTTGGAAAATGAGGTGATATTAAATGCATATTTTGAGAAAACAAAGGCATTTTTTGATCTTGCATGCATGTAAACCTGTTGTAGGAGACTCCAAAAACAATATTAGGAACCTTAAAATGGCATAATAGGGGCACTTTAATCATTCTGGTTACTTAAAGGTTTCATTAACTATGTATTACACACAATTTATATTTTTATTGTGTATCTTTATGCACGTGTTGCCTTAAACAAACAGTCAGTAACTGAACTGATTTAAGTCTCACAAGCTGTAACCTGAGTGTGCTTGATTCACTAAAAAGAACCAATTCATCAGAGTCATTCATTCACTAATCAGACTACATTGGCTGTTTTTGTGTGTTTGTTTCACTAAAAGAAACAACTCAGTGGAATCATATGTTCGGGAATTGTACTACATTAGTTGGGCAGTATATGTTTGGGAATCTTACTACACTAGTAGTACAGTATGTGTTTGAATCACTAAAAAGAATTGGATATTAAGAGTCATTTTGTGAGTCAGACTACACTAGTTGTTCAGTATATGTTCGATTCACTAAAAAACTGACTAATTAGGATAATTTCCTTGGAAATCCGACAACGCTAGTTGTGCCGTATGAATTTGATTCACTAAAAAGAACTGGCTCTGAAGAGTCATTTGTTTGGTAACCGGACTACACTGATTAGTCTAGTGGTTTCACACTGTAGATTTTGTAGCATTGTTGTTGTGCATTGAATAAATATGAATGCTAATAAAAATACATTTAGTGTGGTGTTTTGTCGACATCAGCACACATCAGAATGCTTGTTAGAAAGCAGAAAACTGTTAGCTATTCTACCACATTTTTTTCCAAATCTGTTGACTCATTACACTCATCTCTGCCCATGGGATAGCAAAATGTACACTTCACAATCTTAGGACATTTCGGTTTCATTTTGTGGAACCATGTTGGCTTGCCACTTGATGTCCAGTGTAAAATCGGGGTCCTGAAGCAAACCCAGTTGCAATGCACTGCCCTTCATCTCACCTGATCATACCTGTCCCATAGCCTTCTCTTTCTCCATCTGATCTTGTTTGATTGCTGCAGCGGCGGCTCCAGCGTTTGCTTTCATCTATGAGTCTAGCTGGAGGCCTGTGGGAGCAGCCGTCAGGGCAGAGCTCAGCTCCACGTAACCTTCCTGACTCTCTGCCAGAGAAAAGAGCAGCCGGATTGGAGAAGATGGGGCACATTATGTAACGAGTTATGCAATCATACATCTGCCTCCCAGTGCGCCAGTGTGTGGGTGCCCACAGCTTAGATTAAATAAA